CCAAAGACTTAAAACTTGGCATGGACCTGCATAAAATGATATAATTTTATTTGAGTCATTTTTTATGGGAGTTTTTGGACTCTACTACTACTCTACACCCTCCACTGTTTGTGGTTTAGTAAGTTTGGAGCTCCATTATGCGAAGACAAACATGTTTGGGAAAGCCAAGCTGTTCTATTCAATTCACTGGAAACGCCTCTGGGTGATTGCTGGAGTGCTATTATGCCACATGTATGTGATGGCAGTGGAATGTAAATTTTTCATTATGTACACTTGTGCCTAGTGAAGCTTGATAACAAGAGCTGCTCTTTGTCCTCCTCTGGCCATTCAAGAGGCTTTGTGTTGGCCCACTTTTTTTTCTGGTAGGATTATGCTGCTGACGCTGCTGCGTACCTGTGGTTTCTGATGTGTAAACAAAGGACAAACAACACAGATCCTGACATAAAGATAGTGCCCCAAAATGTTTTCAAAGAATAAACACAGATGATTTGAGAGCGCTGTATGTGTCGAGGATTTTCCTATGATCTTAGCGTTACAGCCCTTTCTCATGATCAGGAAACAATTATCCCACAGTCACAATAATCTTTGTTTTCTGGAGATGATAAAACAGTTTGATCTTTACATGAACCAAAGCTGTGTTTTTGGATCACAAGATAAAAAACATCTGCCTGTTGTCTGTGGTAGGGAACAGTCACATAACAGACAACACATGTATACATTTCTGATTTATTTCTGATAATGATCACCCCAAAGTCCCACAAATGTTTTTATAAACATAAAAAGCTTGTTACATCACAATCACAAAGTAATAATTTGGGGATTTTGTGACCAAGAAGTAATTGTTTTGGGATCACAAGTGAGGAAAACGTTATGAAAATGAGATGAGATTATTTTTTGATCAGAAATGAAAACAAAAAAAGGGAGTTACATAACTATTTGACCTCTTTGGTCTTCCTTACAAATTTGACATGAAGGCAACAACTTTGGCATTATATCGATACTACATGTTACTAGGCTACCATAAAATACACAGTTTGCACTTGACATGTTGACAATGCATTTTTAACCAAAAAATGTACATACTATAACATTAATGGGTGCAGGCAGGAATAAACTCCTTTGAATAAATTTCAAATAGGAAAGCTTGAACAAAGCTGAATTAAAATGATTTTCTAACTGATTATTACTAAATTAGTTATGTTAATACTTTTAAAAGGGCCCTTTTTACTTATTTACTATAGTTATTTTTAGGGCTCTAAAGTGTGAAAAAGGCCTTTTATTATTTCCCAGAGCCCGAGGTTACTTTCAAATTACCCATTTTATCTGACCAATGGTGCATTTAAGAAAGTACACCAGCAAATTATTGGTATTGGTTATTGGTATATTGCTTGATAAATGACATAATGCCATTATGAGTATTGTTGTGGGATCATTTTATGGTAATCTTATTGACCAATATGTTAATTGACTTAGGTTTCAGCACTAGTTGGCGTTAGACTGGAGGGACGATGCCATGGGTATAGAAGCTGTGTCAGGCTGTTGTCATTTCGTTCCAGCTGTGAGTCGCTCCTGCATTTCTTTGTGACAAGAACGCCACACTCTAGCGTATCTAACATACGCGACGCATTGCCAACGCCATTTCCCCACCAGTATGTTGGATTATGTCACACATTGTTCTTAGTGACCCTCTAGAAGTCGATCCAGCATGTCTGTATGGGAATAAGGTCAGGGGTGTCCAAGCAAAGCTCTGTCTCGTGTGATGGTAGAAGCCACGTCGGACTCCCCACACAAAGCCCATATGCTATCCAGTGTCTGCTCTGACACTCCTAACACCGGCCCGCCCCTCAGATGGAGTCCTTGTTAACCCCATTTGCAGACAACAAAAGACCTGACCCAGAACCCAGTCACCCAATCATGTCATACATCACCGTCAGGGTTAAAGGTCATCGTGGGTCGCAGCACAGTGCTCCTGCAGGGGTCAGAGATTAATGTGCTTGACCACTGGTCTCTTTCTCATGACATCACCACAGCTCACAGTCTCACTTTATGGAAATAACAAGCGATTGATAATGTCAGTTTATCCTATCATCATTGATCAAATGATAATCTATTGTCAGCTATTGATGTTTTCAGACAGTCAAAAATTCTTGAAATTGTCTATTATACAGTTGTATGTCTTCAAATAGCTTTTTAGTCTGACTGACAGTCCAAATACTCAAAGTTGTCTACTCAGATAAGAGCTACATGTATGTACAAAGCCATATTGAGTCCCATCCTTGTCCTGCCTAGGACATTACATGCTGTATTTTCAATCAAAGTGTCCTGTGCTATGTTCGTTTGAAGATACATCATGTAAAACCTTAATACGAACTACCTAGAACAGGTGAAATGTGACAAATAGAATCCTTAAGAAAACTTGCTTTCTTGTATTATTGTGACTCTATTTCTAGTTTAGACATAAAATATGTTTATATTTAAAAAAAAAAAAATATATATATATATATATATATATATATATATATATAGGTTTTCACTCAGTCCACCATGCCACAATCCCCCTTCCAAAAATGTGGGACATATCACAGGTCACATGACCAACTCTTCAGCACTTTGGTTAAGGTGAGCAAAAGATCCTGGTTTCAGTTAGACGTTATTAAACACGTTGTGTCTCAAGTCCTTGCAGACTCTCTCTGTATCAAAGGTCCAGTGTGTAGGATTTACTAGCAGTGTAGATTGCAAGTCCCTCACTTCACCTTCCAGTCTAAGCTCAAAGGAACAACTGCAGTGGCCGCAAAATGCATAAAAGAAATGCTAAAGGCCCTATCTACAGTCAGTGTTTGGTTTGTCTGTTCTGGGCTACTGTAGAAACATGGCGCCTCAACATGGCGCACTGTGTAGAAGAGGAACCGCTCCCTCTGTAGATAAAAATTCTAAGGTAACTAAAATACAACTATTCTTATTTTCAGGTGATTGCACACTAATGAAAATATACCTATGAATATTATATTCAATTTTTGTCAGTAGATCCTCCTAAATGTTACACACTGGAGCTTTGAATCACTGCAGACTTTCTATATTAAAACAAGACTGCTGCCATGTGCCTAAACATAACCATAAAAGCTGAATAATGCTGTAGTCACTACAAGCAGATATTAAATCAATATTTGGGACATGTTAATTCTATTATATAATATTATATATTATTTGTATACTTATTATTTATGAACAACAATTAACAACATTATGTTAATAGAAAATGTAATTGTCAAAGAAACAGGTCAAATGAAACAAAGACTATTATAGAAAGACACATAATCTTACTTCATGTTGGGCCACTTGCTCATTTTCTTAATGCCATAATCAAACAAATTACCTCCACACACACACACGCCTTGAGCATCAGAGCTGGATGAATGGAAGAAAAAAAAGTTATGATGTCACTCTGGGAAAAAAAGGAGAATCCCATTAGGATGGAGAACAGCTGGACCCATCAGCCAATGAGCAGCTGAGATCCCGGAGAAGGAGAGGGGAGGTAGAGGGGAGTGCGGGGGGGATTGAGCTGAGCTGAGCTGAGCAAGCAGTAAAGTGCAAACACAGTGACACCAGAAGGAACTGTCACCTCATCTCACTCAATCTTGCAAACAATGCATCGCTGGCAAAGACAGGAAGCTTTTATCCAACAGCTCGGTTCTCTTTCTTGCACACACAAACACACCTGAATGAATGTTTGGCCTTATTCTTTCCTGAAGTCTTAAATTGATTGATTTGTGTTTTGTTGACATGTTGACGTATGTGTAGATATAATAATATTTCAAAAATATGCCAATTATTTTCCTTCAAATATATATTTTAGTTTCCTCTAACCTCATTAAAACCCAATTAGTAGAAATTGATTAAATTGATATATTATATCTGTGGGGGGGGAGTTACACATTTGAGTATTCACTGTTAAAACAAAAGTTGAGAAAACTCATAATTTAAGTAATTTAATTTAATTAGTTATAAATCAAAATCTGTTAAGTTTTGAAATAAACTAAAGATAATTAATTATTTTCTTCTTTAGAAACAATTGTTTTAGAAACAAAAAAAGTCAAAAACGGTTAATCATTAAATGTTTTCAGTTGCACCTATTTAATTTTCAAGCACCCAAATAATGAAAACTGGGTTCGCAGCTCACGGTGAATTCAATTCTTGAAATGCAGAAGTTTTTGTTTCTAAAAGTCCGTAAAGATTTTTTCTAATGAAGAACAAGTAAATTACTCCAACAAAAGATTATAGGTTCACACAATGCCCAATCATAAATAGAGAGAATATGAAAATCCATTATATTGCATGTTTAATGCTTTTTGACCCCATACAAGGCATTAGGGTTAAGAGAGGTGGGGTTTCTTTGGGCTGCACCAAGCAGTTATTTCATTATTTATTAATCTGCTGATTATTCTCTCTATTCATTGATTGTTTGGTCTAAAAACATCTAAATGTCTCAGAATTGCCTAAAACGTCTTCACATGACTTGTTTTGTTCAATCAACAGTCCAAATGATTCACTGATTCTCAAAATTGTTTAAGATCCTCAACACCACTACATTTCCTGATATTTCATGTTACGAAGACTAATACCCCCTCACTTCAGTCAGTCTGAGCATATACACTGCAGTCTTGAAGCTGTATAGCACTGTACACAGAGCTTCTCAGGAGACTGAAAAAACAACAATTGTGTTTTTCTGTTGTGGTGTATGTGTGCTGATGTCTTATAAATCATGATGTGAGCAGGTTAGACAAAATAAAAGGTTGAGTTTGGTTGAATTAGACTTTCAGATTGCAGGTAATGAATGTTTGATGAGCTGGGATCGGGCGTGCATGCAGCATCTTTAGCGGACTAAACATAAGGCAGTCTGACAGTCACAGCAGTGCTTTGCAAACATTATCACTGGACTAAAACCTGTCTGCCTCTCCCCACCTCCACCACCACCCTTCCTCCCTGTCTGTCCCTCTCCACAGTCACCCTGAACAGTCGGAACGGAGCGACTTCAGCCGGTGCGAATGATGACGACAGCAAAACAGGAGGAGCAGTGGAGAGCAAGATTCCTGAAGGCGATCTTTTGCTGCAGGTCGGTATTAAAGCCGTATTTATTGTTGTTTTCCTTCAATCTGTTTCTATTCACAATATATTTTATCTTTATCAACTCTTTCATTGATTTTATGTTCAATGTCTGAGATGGCTGCCAAGTCAAACACTTCAGTTTCCAAACAGGCAAACCGCCATGGTCAATATGTTCGATATGTTTTGAGGGACAGCCGCTGTTGATGGGTAACTGCACTGATTTAATTTGTTTGTCTGGACAGCTCTCTCTTCCTGACAAGTGCCCAAAATCTATTTAGGCCAATGACAGAGGCTCAGAAGCTCAGGGCAGCTTACGACTCAATAAGTCTGACAGACTCCCGCGTGCCCTCCTGAAACATTACTCTCCTTTTTTTGCCGGGATACATTTGTCCAAAAGAATTCCTGCCTAAATATGGATTCTTCTGAACAGAAATGTGACACTTCAAGGATGCTTTGTTATTTAAAGAGCAGATTTCTACCCAATAGTCTTCAAAATGTGCTTGTTGTTTGTATTTTCACTAGGGATGTCCCAAGCTAGTTTTTCTATTCCCCGGTCCGATCCGAGTCATTTAATATTGAGTATCTGTCAATCCAGAGTCCCGATCCGATAGATAACACAGTGCACATTGCACACTTCAGTCATTAAAATCATTCAAATATACAGTATATGTGTGACAATTAAATAGCACTGCATTACATCAAGTAGCATCGGATAGGCTCAATAAAATATAATAGAGCTGGTACCGATCGTATCGGGACATCCCTAATTTGTGCTGCTTAGGTCATATTTCTGTCGTTTTGGACATCATTCCCATCAATGGTGGTCATATTTAGTTTAATAGTTGAACCTTTTGGGAAATACTTTATTCACTTTTTGCTGAGAGTAAGATGGGAAAATCAATTCCACGTATATCTGTGTGGTAAATATTAAATTACAGCCAGCAGATGGTTAGCTTAGCATAAGCATAAGCTAAGCTAACGACAGGTGAAGAGCTAGCTAGCTATTTGTTACCTTTACGAATGTGCAAAACTGACAAAGGATGACAGGACTCCAGGAAGTCCCTGTTGTCAGATTTTTTTCAAAATTTTGGACATAGAAAGCATTTCCCCTCTTTTTTCCCAGCCTTCATCCTAAGCTGGCTTCATATTTACCATGCAGACATAAGGGCGGTGTCAATCTTCTCATTTAACTCAACAGGAGAGTGACTTAGCATAGTTCCAATAATGTCCAAAAAATTTAGTCCAACAACATGAGAAGACTTCACAGGTTAAAAACCAGTCACCATTTTTGATTAAAGGGGAAAATGAGAGTGGATGTTGATTTTCATCCAAACTTTTCCTGGTTCACCTCTAACCTGATACATACAGCGGCCAAATGTGTGGACACCATTGTCCACATAATCTCATGTGATTTTGGTCTGGTTTGGGCCTGGCCGCTTACTTTCAAAAAGGTAAGTGGGGTGTTCCCGGTCTGCAGTGGTCAGTATCTATCTAAAGTGGTCCAAGGAAGGAAAAGAACCAGAGACAGGGACATGGACTGCCAAGGCTCATTGATGCACGTGGGGAGCAAAGGCTGGCTCGTGTGGTCCGATCCAACAGACGAGCTACTGTAGCTCCAACTGCTGAAACAGTTAATGCTGGTTCTGATAGAAAGGTGTCAATACACACAGTGCATCACAGTTTGTTGGTATGGGGCTGCAGAACATTTTGAGCACCAGGGTGCCATACAGTGTTGGCTGATTGGTGTATATCAGTGTAAAAGGACTAAAAACATATTCATAATGATAACAAGATACTTGTTAGACTAGAAAATGCTCTCAGACCTCCACCAAGGAGGCAGCTCACTAAGGAGTGATGGTGCAGATCTGTAATTCTGGAAACATAACTGCAGAAAGCAGGAAATATAGATCCACTTCAACCGGTTTTGATGCTATTATGCAGCTTCACCGGTATTGTGCATGTGACAGCTGTAGTTACTGGTGGTAAATGTGGTTCAATACTATGGGTCAAAGAATACTGGGGGCAAAAAACTAATGATTGTGGTTTTAATAGAATAGTCGAACAATAATTGGTCTTTTTTCCATCATTCTGTGAGCAACTGTGATCTGTTTTTATCCTGCACACAGCATGAGTCTGAACAGCGACAGTGAAAGTGACTTTGGTTACCTGGCTGAGAGGTTAAAGGTGTGTGCCTGCAGCTCTTCATCTAACAGCTCACTGTGGCTGCACTTTACTGGTCCATTACTACCTGCAGTATTTCAAACCGATACGCTCTCAAAGAATGTCCAAAATGCCCGTTGTCTTCTTTGGTAGACATATTTTGGATGAGAAATGCTTTTAATGTGAAGCTGTGTTTGCATTAGCAGAACTTAATACTACCTTTCTCTGGGAATTTTGGTACAGATACCCAGTGTGTAATACTGTATCCACAAATACTGAAATAGGTTCATCAGTGGTCATTGTGCAGCCTGGATGGGATGCTTTCACGGGCTGCCTGTTGAAGACCTCTGCTGTAGTCCCTAAATGTGACAGAAATGCAGGAAAAGGGATGCGAATGTTCTTTTTCATATCTTTTTCTGGAGGAAGATAACCAGACCCCTGTGCTATTGTGTCCCACCCCCGCTAAATCATCTTTATAAAGCATTTTTCTGTTTGAAATTGTTTGCATTTTTAGAATTTCAGGTCACGGCTTAGCCTTTTAAGAAAAGGCAATCAACAGACCTGTTTTCTTTTCCAGTAAAAGCGGGGGTAAAAAAAAATCCCTCCTGGTTCATGGCGGCTTTGTGCCCTCTGTACTGTATGTGTGATTGAGTGGAGAGCGAGCCCGCTGGCTGCCAGATCTTTTTGGGATCTGCTGGAGTCATTGATTTTCCAGTCCAGTTCCTCCCAATGTGCATTACACTGGCATTCCAGGAGGGGAGAGGAAACAGGCTGCCCGCCATACCCCGACCCTACCGGGGAGGTTTCATTATTATGATAAGCCTACATTTCCCCAGCTTGTTAGTAATGAGAAATGAAAGCTCATTTGGAGAAAAAGAGGGAGAGTTTTCCACAGGGGGCCTCCTCCTCCTCCTCCTCCACCTCCTCCTAATCGTCGGGATGAGAGGGGAGATGGACAGGCTGAGGAATGTGAGGTTTATTTCGGAACCCCCAGACTGAGCCGGCTTCTTTGCTGTTCTTCGCATCAGACGGTGGTGAATTATAGAGGAGCTGTGAGGTTATCAATTATTCAAACTCAGAGAATGGAAGAAACATGGCAGAATGTCTTAATTGTGCTTTTACTTTTTAGTCATGATTGAAATCGACCACAAGCAAAATTGGTCCTTTCTGACAGTAACTGACAACAACCAGCTCTAACCATGTAGACCGTCCTCCATATTTATTCTCTCTTTCTATTTCAGTGCTAAATGTGTAAGCCGTCGCTCTTCTTTTGCTCATACTCATGACTGAATTCAATCATTTGCAGCTGGGAGGTTAATGAGTACACATGAGTAGACGATCTGCTGTTATGGCCTAATTTCTGACGGCTGCACAGCCTTTCACATCCCGACGGGTTCCAGCAGCAACAGAGCATTTTGCAGTTTTCCTGAATTTGAACAAACCATGTGGGAAATTACACCAGAGGTTAAATGAGTGCTTTGGGTTTTTTAGTCGCTCTTGCTACAGAGTTCAGCGTCTGTTTGGTTGACATTTGGGTGTTTATGTTTACTTGTTGGAGGAAGCGTGGCAGATAATTGTGGTGAATCACTGGTGTATTGTCAGGAAGAATAACATGGTGTCTCCAGCATTAGTCATTCCTGCACCCTGTGGGCTGATTTGGGAAAGAGAGGACTGTGCTTGTACGGATGTTTGTGGCTGCGTGAGGAAAGTTGTGTGTGTGCACGTTAGTGTTTGTTGGTACAATGTCATGTCTGTTTGTGTGTTTGTTTACGAAGCGTTCCTGTACCGGGGGAGGGCACGTGTGCCGTTTAGTGAGGTGGAAATGTTGGACCAGCTGTTCCCCTTTGAAGAGAAACAATGAGTGTGCTCCATTTCACTTAACATGCTTCCTCATTTTCCTGTCTAGTCTAGTCTCCTCCTTTCCTTTTCTTTCCTTTCCTTTCCTAGATTTTCCAAGCAATTATTTTACTGTACTGTTGCCATCTACTACCATCTATCACAAAACCTTGTTTTTTTCCTTTTACAGAAATAGAAGACATTAAATAATTCACGTCATTAAAATAGTTATGAAAGGGAAGGGCTGACAGTGTTCACATTATATATGTATATGGATCTTTATACATATATATATATATATATATATATATATATATATAATCTACAAATATATAAAATCATAGAGATGTTAATTTTTATCTTTACATTGCTGCATTATAAAAGTCTGTGCTTTACTGTTTTACTGGCCTGAAGTTTGTGATAGCGCCACCTTATCTGTATTGGATGCAGACTTTTGTGCCCAATAAAAGGCAACAACTGCCCCACTGTATTGCATTATACAGAGAGGTGTCTCTGTCATTTAGCCTATTATTAAAATCATGAAAACACCTGTCAGTGTAGCACAATACACAAACTACATCCTCCAAGATGATCTATAAAATAGAATCAGCACCTCTCTCAAACTGTTTCATTATGTACAACCAGTATAACCTTAACATAGGGATTTGACTGCATTGGTTTTTGCTAGGTGTAATGTCAGAGTTCCCACTCTTTTTTTAACAAATAATTGTTCAGGACCTTTCCAGGAGTTTTTCTTGACAATACAGGACAGCACTTTCGGGCAAATTTACTACTTTAATTTGGCCACAGCCCATACCTAACAGTTCAAATCTTTGACAGAATATTAATATTTTAGAAAGGTAGTGTTCATTGCACGTACAATTGACATCACTGTGTGTGTATGTATCATTTATGTTGTATGAATGTAAATATGGGAATTTGGCTAGCAACTCTGCAACAAATTTACTAGACGCCAGAAATATCACTGTCACACTACTGAAAGTTCAAAGTGGAAATGCAATTTACACTACCAAGAGTTGGTTTTCAAACAAAATACACACCTAGGTTTACGTAAGTAATCTGAGTGGGAAAAAAAATTCCAGCACAACAGCCTAATTGTGAAATATGAGGGCACAGCTGGTGTAAAATGTTACCTAGTGAGTGTGAGACTGTGGTGAGCTGACATTTGCTGTGTTGGATCAGTGACGAACATTGTGTGGCCATCTATGATTCAAATATAAGGCCAACTCTAATGTCAGTGGTGGAAATACACCAAAGCCAAAGTCCATGATTTGGAAAAAGTGAAAACAGTGTTCAGTATATTGTATATTGCAGAGGGTAGTTCGGTGGGATACACAGAGCTGGCCATCTCCGCCTTTTTAAATAGCTCGAAATAAGTGGCATTTTTCAGGATCACTTGCAAACCTCCCCTTCATATCCAACATTTTGGTCTTTGGGAGTCAGGGAGAACATTTGGTGATGACACTGTGGTTCTTAACTAAAGGCTCCCACACAATGAGAGCTAATTGTGCTAAATCATAGCAAGATGACTCTGCTAACTGTTTGTGGGCTTGCCTTGTCTGACCTACAGGCTCTCAACGGTTTCGTCCTGGTTATCACTGCCAGTGGAACCATCTTCTACTCCTCTCACACCATCCAAGACTACTTGGGCTTCCACCAGGTATTGTAGCAGTCTTTCTCTATACCCTTTTGACTTCTAATCACCATCCAATGATTACCCAGCACTCTCTTCAACAATGACAACAATCGGATATAAAAACGGCATAGGGGGGAACTTCCTGTCATTTTAACCCATCTTGTTTATCCTAACCTAGCCATGATTTAATTTAATCTTTCTTATTTATTCTTGCTTACATTTCAGGTGCATAGGTAGACACAGAGGGGTGCAAATCTATAGAGGCACATTTGTTAAATAGAGATCTCAGGCCTTTGTTTTAGCAGTTGATAGATAGGTCTGGATGGATGGCTTGCGTGCAACATCTGCTGGGAGCGGCTCAGGGGTCTTGTTTGATCCAGCGGTCTTCTCCCTGCATGGTGCAGAGTCAGAGGCTCAAACAAGAGCAAAAAGACCTGACCTATTTATAGCTTGGCCTTTTTACAAACCACCAGGCACAGCAGTGGGCTGCAGGGAGCAACACATCCCTGCCTCACAGCTCAGCTGAGCAGAACACACTGAGACGCTTTGGACAGCTGAGTGCACCTGTGACTTTTAGGAACGATCTAAAAGTGAAATTTGCTTTTGAACACAATGTTTTGAGGAAGCACACACTACATACACACTGCTGGAGCCACATACACAATGCTGGGCATATGTGTGTACTTCTGCTACAACTACTTCCACTAATAGCACTATCCCTATGACTGCAAAAACATTAGAGTCCCATATCCAGGTATTTTAAGCAACCACCCAGAACCTCACCTTGCAACACCCCAAATTCTCTCTTAGCAACCACACCAAACACCCTAACAATCAATAGGCAACCTTTTAGCAATACCTTAGCAGCCATGTAGCAACACCCTAGTTACAACTATGAAAACATTTGCAATGACCTACAAAGACAGCTTGTGACGACAGCAAACCTACACGGGCTTTGTTCACACAGTTGAACCTATTGTAGCTTGCATTTGTTGCTCAAAGAAATAACTCACGTTATCCACGCTGTGACAACTTTCACACTACAGCATCACCAGTGTAAAGGGAACAGTCTGGTCACTGAGACAATGAATGGCAAACTGCATTAATGAAGAGGGGTAGCAGTCACAAACTAAAACTATTCATGCACATTATATAATATTAGATACATTATGACTGACTTTTGGATGCTGGTTCTTTTTCAGGTGTATAATTTTGCCTACATCCTCTATGTCTTTACTTGCAAATAACTTGTTTTATCCTTTACTCTCGTTATTTTTCCTCAGACGGATGTCATGCACCAGAGTGTGTATGAACTAGTCCATACGGAGGACCAGCAGGAGCTCAGGAGAAACTTGCACTGGGCTTTGAATCCTCCTCCCACCACTGCATCTGCCATTACCCAGGACTCCCCTCAAGGTGATCACTCTCTCCTCCTATGAGTCCATTATTAAGACCACAACCAAACTGACAGATCCTGGTGAGACTGAATACAGGTTTCTGAACTGAAACCCTTGTCTGAAGGTCAAACACAAAAACAAAAACACACCAGACCATGGTATTATCATATTTTCACGGGTCAGTTGTATTTGACCATGGCTCTTACCAGTGTTTAGTGAAATCAGTCTCTGAATATTTGCTGCATGACCTGGAAGCTATTTATCCCAATGGTGTACCAAAGTGAAACATTGCTTTGTGTGTTGTTGTCCACACATATGTGTTTCAGTAGCACTGCACCAATGCTAAATGTGCTGCACTCCACTGCAGTCTGTGAACATACATTTGGACATCAGTTTTAGACAGTTAAGTACACACAGTTTGAACATTAAGCTCTAAGACCATCCTCAGGTCAGGTCACATGACCGTGTAATCTTCACTGTGGCTTATGAGGTGAAGTGGTCGCAGATCTGTATTTGGTCTTTAAGATGCTTACGTCTGTTTGCTTTGGTTCTGACCAATGTGTTTAGGCTAAGACCCACAGTCCCGACACAACTAACCCGCTCCTGTACTTAGAAACTGCTTACAGTCTCCCCTGTAACTGCAACAAATGCTGTCACTTGGTGTGTTAAGACAGTTAGCTCCAGGGATCATTCCATGAGTGCATTTATACAGTGGAGGGCAGCTGATGACATGAGACAACATTTCATCCGGCTCAAGACTAAATACAGAGGAGGGCAGAATGCTAGGCCATTATTTACTCTCAAAATGGACTCTCAATTTTTACTGTTGTGACATTATTAATGAATTCCAACACACCAGGAATCAAGAAACACAGCTTCATTGTATATGTACTGAACACCTCTATAGTAAAGGCCTCTAATCTTTAACACAAACTAATACTTGAAGTCACAGTGAAATAGCAGTCAGACCATCTGCAGCTGATGGTGAGTGACATATTTCCAAGTAAAACTCAATATGAGCAGGGTTGTTATTTTGAGAGGAATCTGATTAAATAATTTTTGGATTGCCTCATTCAAAAGTAGACTTGCGAAGCACAGAGAGATATGAAGAAGTGTTCATTTTAAGGTCCAGTGTGTAACATTTAGGAGCATCTATTGGCTGAAATAATGTATACATAACACACTTTTATCAGATTGGTATCAGCTGATCACGTACTGGAATCTGTAACATCTTTAATAAAATGACTAACATGTGACTAAAATTAATCATTTTAATTTAAACACTAAGGCTAAATCTAAAATATCTGCCAAATGAATACTGCTCGGACTTAAACTGACTACTTTATACTCACCACATTATACCCATTGCCACTGACTGCAGCTCATATTGTTTGCAATAACAGAGATGGAACCAGACAGCAGCTCATCTTTAGTCACCTACAACCCTGAGCAGCTTCCCCCAGAGAACTCGTCCTTCCTGGAGCGGAGCTTCGTGTGTCGCTTTCGCTGCCTCCTGGACAACTCCTCTGGCTTTCTGGTAGGTTGAACCTGTCTGCTGCAGTCCACTCCCATTTGTGTACTGAAGTAGCATATGACATAGTTAAGTTACTGTTTGAGTCAAAGTATGTTTGATTTGATAGAGAATTTTAAATAAAGCAAATTACACCAGTAGTTTTTTAACTGGTCAGTATGTTAAAGAGCTGGTACAAGGTGAAAGGTACGACCAAAGCACAGTATAAAATGTAAAAAAAAATATTTTTCTGTATTTTATTGGAGGATGTGTGTTAAAAGAATACATTCTATACATAGTAGGGTGATTAATAAAAATGTAGGTTAATGACAGAGATAAAAGATAATGTAGCCGCCTGCTTTCCAATGCATAGGGTCCATTCCTCCATCAGTAGGTTCTGATTTAGCCTATTGGAAAAACCTTTACGTCCTGTCAGTGGGGGTGCCCCTGGGGAGAGCTACGCCACACGTCTGAGTGTTCTCAGACACATCTCTCTCAGGGTGGGCAGGAGGAACATGCTTCTTATAGGTGGTGGGGGCACAAGGGCCGGCGCACATGTCTCTGCACATAAAATGCTGCAACTGCCTGATGTATGGAAGGTGATTCAACATTTCACCCTGCCGCTGGAGAGTCATCACGATTTGATTCGTACAGACAACAAAACAGCAGCAGCTAACATAAATCTCCGAGTGGGGGGGGTTGCGGTCAGCTATAGTGCTGGGTACACACACACTTACTCTCCATACATTCCTGGTGAATGGAACACAGCAGCCTCTAGGCACATGAAGACGGTCCCATTTCCTACTGTGCCCTGTGTTACAGTGCGTAACCATCGTCTCCACTTCTTACAGCCGCATTCTTTATGTTTCTTCCCCTAGTGTCGGCCCCTTAGTGAATAACAGGTGTTGTAGCGTTTCTGTGCCACCTGTACGCACTGATGGGATACGATAGATACGATAGACAACTATTCCAAACTTAATTTATTTTATTTTCTCTACAGGCTTTGAACATCCAGGGCAGACTCAAGTTTCTGCATGGACAGAACCAGCGGCAAGAAAACGGAGGAAAGGTCCCGCCTCAGCTCGCCCTTTTTGCCATTGCGACTCCCCTGCAGCCTCCATCCATCCTGGAGATCAGGACAAAGAACATGATCTTCAGAACCAAACACAAGCTGGACTTCACACCCATGGCCTGCGACGCAAAGTAATGATACTGGCATGCAGCATACACACATACTTATGTAAAATTACTTAATTCCTTGAATTGTGTGAGGATAAAGCATTAGTACCAGGAATTAATGTTACATGTAGGAGAAGCCTCATAGTTTTGCTGATTAAAAAAGGATTTGTGGTTTTATTCTTCTGTGTATTCGTTTTGCTGTAATACTTCACTTAATATGGATATAGGATGTGCTTGAAAATGAAGTATGTTTTTTTAACGTACAGGGGGAAGATAGTGCTGGGGTACACAGAGGCCGAACTGCGGGTACGAGGATCTGGCTATCAGTTCATCCATGCAGCAGATATGCTGTACTGCGCAGAGAACCATGTCAGAAGTAAGTTCTATTGGTCGCCCGTGACATTTGTTTTATCTCTCTCGCTCTCTCTCTCTCTCTCTCTCTCTCTCTCTCTCTCTCTCTCTCTCTCTCCCTTGCTTCCTGTCATCACTCCACTGTTGCTTTTGAATAAAAAGTCTAATGAAATGTCAAAAACATATATAGATATTGTCTGTTACCCTGTCATTTTACAGAAGCCAACAAGTTAGGAAAGAGGTTTTTGTGAAAGTTGGGAAGTTTCACATAATTTGCACTAAAAGAAATGTACTTCAAGTAAACCGAACATACTAATCTATCATAAAAGTATGGCTTTAAAAGCTTTCACCAACTTAAAGACAGATTTTGAAGTGGAAAGTGCTTTTTTTTCTTGACCGTGCAACTCTCTCTACTTAGTACACAAAACAAACACTTTTGGCTTCACCCATGTTAAAAATAACTTTATTTTAATGCTGCTGTATAAATGACTACTTGTGAGCACACTTTGGCCCAAAGAGATGCTGGTTATGTAGCCTGAAGCTGTTTCATAATGAGTATATGTAAAATGAATCCATCCATCTGTGATGTTTATCTGACAGAAGATTGTTCCTATTTTAGATTTAGCCTGGTCAGAAAAGTTGAGGTCTAGTCCAACCTGGTCAGAGAGTTCAGACAGCTTTCGCAAGTAATCCTGCTGGATTACGGAGCAGATTGAGCAAAGCTGTAGAGCTGCCAGAGGAGAGGATAGGGCCCACAAATCCACTGCATGAGCAAAAGCATCAGAGATGATCCATACGGCAGAACCAACACACAGACCACTCTCTCCATACTGTAGAGTAAGGGTCAGTGTAGTTATATCAAGATGTCAAAGCAAGTAGAGTTTCTACACAGATGAGCCAATTGATCTCCTTCATTGAGCCTCACATAATACCATGCTGAAGGATTAAGTGGCTGTCAAAGCTTTCCCAGTTTACTTTCTCTGCTTTTCAAAATTGTACAAAAGGAAGCGAGAACACTGGATTTACGAGCTCTGACGTGCATTTTTTCAAGATCAAGAGCATCTTGTATAAGTGCTCATGATTAACTTTTTCACCCTCAGTAAATTGCAATGTAAAGCAGTGAAAACACATTACTGAATATGTGTGATAACTTGCTAGAGGATGTCAGTTGGGTTGTCAGTCCATCCTTATGGTCCACTTTCATCCAAGTTTCTCAGCAACTACTTGCCAGATTTCATGTTTCTATTGATATTCCCGGGCTAGGGATGATAGGATTTCTGTCAATTAGATTTCCATTTAATATAAGTTATAATAAGTAATGCCAATATGCAGAAATGTAAGTACATCTTTGAACTCCGTCATTGCTAAAATACAGAGCTTTAGTAGGTTTATATTAATTTTGTAATTCAATTCACTTATTATAACTGTTTGTATTCTTCATACTTATAGTGATGAAGACTGGAGAGAGTGGCCTGACTGTGTTCAGGCTCCTTACCAAGGAGAATCGCTGGAAATGGGTCCAGGCCAATGCCAGGCTGGTGTACAAGAACGGCAAACCAGACTACATCATCGCCACCCAGAGGCCTCTTTTGTATGTTCCTATATATTTATGTTATTTAGTCTACAAATGGTAAATTTTGTTGGTTTACAAAATGTTTATCCAAAAAGGGAAGCATGTATAGTTTTCAGTTATGATGTGCCACAGACTCCCATTTTTACACTTATGCAAACTGAAATTCCTGAAACCAAGCAAGCAACTTTGATCATTAATTCCTAAATGAATTGCCATGGTGAGGTCTTCAGACAATAATCAATTTTTCTGTCTTTATAGGGATGAGGAGGGAGGAGAACACTTGCGTAAGCGCTCCATGCATCTACCCTTTACCTTTGCTACAGGAGAGGCCCTGCTTTACCAGTCCAACCATCCCATAGCAGGCTTTGGAGATGGAAGCCATGAGAAAAATGGCAGTAAGTCAAAGAAGAGCCGGACTGAGAGGCTGGTGAGGGATGGTCTGGACCCTGGCTCTCTACTAGGGGCACTCATGAGTCAGGATGAGTCGGTGTATGTTTGCCAGCCTGCCGTGGAGCCCAAAATGTCATTCCATAGCTTCTTTGGAGACCAAATGGGCTTCTCTGACTCTGAACCCCCCAGCTTGCACAGGAGCTGGGACGAGACGAGAAATGGTGTGCTGGGTCCAGGAATTACACAGGCAGGCACCAGCTTTGACCCACTGCTGGCTACTCTGGACTCCCTCTCCCTGGAAGGCCATGGTGTTGTGGATTCAGAAGAGGGGGGTTGTTCAAACGGCGAGCTGTTTGGGGCTCTGGAAGGTCTCGGGCTGAGTGCCGAGGACCTTGAGCTGCTGCTGCTGGATGAGCGCATGATCAGAGTTGAGATGGACCCTGAACGTGTGCCCACTTTGGACGACCTACTGACGAACGATGAGATCCTTTCTTACATCTACGACTCCATAGAGGGAAAGATTGATTCCACAGTGCATGGAGGACAGGTGCCTCCCAGTACTGCCTCAGCGACAGCCACAACAGTGTCACTACCTGAAAGTAATTCCACCTCTGACGTCAATGTGCAAATGCAGTTTCCTCACCATAAGCCTCCCCTGGTGGGGCAGACCCCCATTGTCCAGCTGTCCCAGCAGATGCAACAGCACCTCAACATGCGACCCAGTAAAGTGACGCATGACTGGGGCCAGCAGAGTGACCATTTGGCCAACAGGATAGTTAATGGAGACATGCTGGGTCAAAATCAATCCATCCCAAATGGACAATGGACAGCCCAAGACATTCTGGCAAGTGCAGGGATACAACTGGAACACTATAACACTCAACAGACTATTTTAAATGGCAAGGCCTCAGAGCTGGATGGCAAGCTTAATCAGCAGCAAACACATCAACGCTACCTTCAGCAGCAGCAGCAACCCAGAATGCAGAACCATCTCTCACAGCAGTGCCATGCCAAACAGAAGGCAGCCAACCTCAACGGACTGTGTGGCATCTCCAGTGCAGAGCACTCAGCAAGAAAATCCCAGTGGCAGGAATATGGATTCAGCGAGAGTCTGGGCAGCAACCCCTGCCTTGATAACAGCCAAAAACCTCTGACAAACACCTCACTAGATACTTGCATGGATTATAGCATGCCAGATATTGACAATGCGGATTACACTGTTAGTGGAAGTTTGTTTGGGGGGAGTGGACAACAGCACGGGGCTGTGTCCACGGTTTCATCATTCCAGGGGCTGAACCATAAACAGCAGTCGGAGCAGATCCCAGTTCCTTTGGCCCAGGTCATCTCCAGCCTGTCGCAGTGCCCTCCCCCCAACGCCTCCCTGGAGCAGATCCTTGGAGTGGAAAAGCCCTGCCGGCAGTTGGACCACTATGGCATTGGGACTACTGAGATCCCTCACGACCCCAGTTCCGATAAGGTGAGATTGCTGAAACACCGACATGCTGGTAGTGTTGAAATAGTAACTACCCAAAACAGTTTGAGCTCGGAAGGTCATTCTTGAGTTTTGGGAACAATATGTGTAACAAAGAAATGTAAGGTCAACAGGCATCTCGCTTACTTTTCATAATATCCAGCAGCAAAACAACCCATAATGTTGGGGAAATGGTTCTCAAAACTTTCCAAAAAGCTTTACTGTATAATCAAGCATTATCATCATTGTTTCTGGCAACATTCTCAGTATTTAGCCACATTAGTAGCGGTGCTCCAGGGGTCAGTCCAATACTTAGATAGAGAGCTGCAATGATAAGTCTGTTAATTGATCAAAACAAAATTAAAGCAAATATTTTGATTATTTTTTAAGTAAAAATCCCCCCCAAAAAATTGTTCCAGGTTCTCAAACGTGAGAATTTTCTTTTCTTGGTCAGACATAGTAGAATTAATATCTTTGACATTTAATCACTTGTGCTCTAGGGCAGTGGTTCCCAACCTTTTCCTTTAAATCACTGAGTAAACTGCAGACTAAGTCACATATTTAGTTTTTATATTATATTCAATGCATACAAATAATAGTATAGATCAACTGATAAACTGTACAATGAACCCGAATAGTGAACATAATAAATACAGGAAGTTTCAGTAAAACATGCAATTTAGATTAATTTTGAGCAGATTGTTTGCTGTCAATATTGTATTAGTAGGCTTTTCATGATATTTTTAGGAACTTTATACAATTCAGTTATAAAATAAGAAAAATACATTGTATTGCCTTGTGACCCCCTATCACGCTTTGGCTACCCCTAATGGGGGTCCAAAATACTCTACTATGTCAAAATACTCAAGACTCAAAAGCTAATGAAAATAAATTCTAAATTCTAATTAAATTTGCTGTGGATATTCATGACACAGCTCTGAACGAGCTTGGTCACAGTCTGACCTTTCCTGTCAATAGCCGCAGGGTAATCTGTCAACATTTTATGACATTTGCAGAGAAAATTCAAGTTCCTTAGTGAAGGACCCTTGGAATTTGTCTGACTAGCACACTCTTTTGAAAAGTAAATTGATATTCTCTCCTGTAGTGCATTACCAATACATTTATACCAATACTATGAGACTTCATTAAATTGTTATGATTGTCATTGTAATCATTACACAATTTGATGCATTTCAAACATACACTACTGCACATCATAACTGCACATATAAGAAACATTAAATCCTTACAAAATGAATCAAACTTTAATCACAATCACATGAATCATTACACTCCTGGTAGTGGCAAGTCTAACATGTCTACTGCATGTGCCAGAATTGGAAAATAGCTCACCTAAGAAGAGGCACAGAGCTGTCTTCTTTCTGTATCTGTATCTTGTTTGTTTTGTTCATTAAGGGTCATTGCAAGATTGAAAGACGTGATGTGCTGGTGCAGTTTGTTTTCTCGGTCTGTCTCTGTGACCTACAAAAAATGGAAGGGTTGTGTGGTTTATATTTGCTGCAGAAACTGAAAGTGTTTGAAAATATTGCTCTACATTAACCAAACCTGAAACATCTCTTCTTAACTTCTGCAACCTGTGGGTTGGAACTCCTTCATATACAAACAATGGTGAGAGATTTCTCACCATTTCTAAAACAATGAAATACAATACAAATACAACGCATCCAAATAATACCAATTTATTAACAGAAAGTATGAAATGTAGTATTTCTGTATGTTCCTATACTAGACAAATACAATGAAACATACTCAAATTTAGTGATGAAACACTGGTGGTTTAATCTGGATTTGTCAATGGTCAGAAACAGTGACAGTTCTGATACTGAATACAACAATCTCAACTGCTCCTAAATAGTTAGGATGGCTCAAAGGCCTACAATGATTTAGCCCATGGTGATCAGTAAAGTGTCACTGAACGGTTTAAAGATGTCACTTTGTGTTCTGTGATGAGCATTTGTTGTACCGCATGGATTTCAGGCTGACACAGATAAATAAAATCAGACCTATTGTGTGTCAACCAAGATGCATTTTGTGCACAAACGTACACATAAAGCACACAGAGTGGTTGAGGTCATCACATGACTCCTATGTATAGGCTTTTGTCCTCCAACAGGAACATTTCCCTTATTCCAGCTGCTTTCAGCCTTCATACACAACATATTTAGCTACATCTCACTTCAAAATAAATATACATGACAGTCAGAGGAAACTCCTATTGTGCAGCCATTGTTAAAATCCACAAAGCTTTATTTTAAATAAAGTATCCCAACTGAATTCTCGCAAACACTATATAAAATTATGCACATTTCTATTTTAACTAACAATCAGCCATGAAAAAAACACATTCTTTGCTTCAATGAACAGCTGCCAGCTATGAAACTGGATATTGAGTAATTCAAATCAAATACAACAGGGGTCCTATTTTTGAGCTAACAACACATTTCTGCATTTCATAATATTTCTTCCAGCTGTCTTTATTCACAGTGTCCTCTTGTCTTATACAGATGGAGAATGGCTGCATCCTGAACAGCACTTACCCTGGAGGCTGTGCCCTGCCCAATAGGAATGGAACAGCACCCCCTGCTGTCCAGATGCCCGGCCCAGAGACTTTGCCCAGCCTCCCCGACCCACCAGCCACTGGCTTCTACCTCTGACCGGCTGACCAGGAACAGTAGGACACTGTTAATGGCCAGAAACACACAATGACTGGACCAGCCTTATACATCTAGACAACACAACAAACAAAGCTGAAGAAACGTAGGCCTATATGTTTCTTTCTTTGGTTTCAAATTTGTAATTTTTTTTTGTGGGGGGAGGGGATCGTTGTGTTGTATTTTAAGTCATATTATCATACGAGTCCTTTGTTTACAATAATGCAGTGAAGAGTGCTCAGTTGAGTTTAAGTGTTACAGAGAGATAAATGTGAGTTTTTAAAGCTGAGTTTACAGATCCGCGTTCAGATACAACACAACGCACAATTTACATTCAGAGGCAAAAGATTATGGCTAGTTTAGCATCAATTATTTAATATTTAAATTAAAAAAAACTACACTAATACACCCATTTCATGTAGGATATTCTTAAAGTCAAAAGTGAAAGAGCAAGACAACACAAGTGATAGATGTCCTAAAGATTTTAGATTTACTGAGTTAATATTGGGTGTCACTGGTGGGTAAATGATTCATATTTCATCAGCGGAAGCTGATTATTAGCCATTATCACTGGTAGTAGATTAAGGGATGACTTGATCAACAAAAACTAGCATTGTTCATAGTCTGACATTTTATTTAAGAAACAATTAAAGCTGCAGTAAGTGATTTTTATAAAAATTAATTGCCTAAATTTCACTATATGCTGACGGTAGTACATGAGACAGATAATCTGTCAAAAAATCAGGCTCCTCTGGCTCCAAAAGGGTACCTGTCTCTGCTCTGATTGGTTGTTTTCATTCAGGCCCGGTGGATTTTTGCATATGCCATTAGGAGCACTAGGCGGAGCCAGAGGAACATGATTTTTTCACAGATTATCTGTCTCATGTACTACTGTCAGGATATAGTGAAGTTTTCAGCAAATACGACTATATATTTTTATAAAGGTTATTTTCTGCAGCTTTAATCAAGAAAATAACCAGCAGTAATCGGTAGTTGCAACCCGAAACTGTAAGATGCAAAAACAGGCAAACAGCAGGAGATGAACTGAGGAGAAGAGAGGTTGTGGTATGTTTCCACTTCATGAATGTACAGAGGGACAGGAATATCTGACCAAGCATCAAAAGCACTTCTTGGTCATGTGACTTTATTTTTTCATCTGAACAATGAACAGTCACAATTCGGTTTTAGGGTTGGGGTCTTTTGACTCGCTTTGTATCTGAACGCACCATAAAAACACACACATACACACACACACACACACACTATCCTTGTCAGTACAACTCCAACGTGCTTTTGGCACTGGCAGTTGACAGGACATCCGCATCGCTCATAGTTTTGCTACAAGAATGTAATCTTTCAGTGTTCAGTGATTTCTTTGTTGAACGGTTTTACTTGTCAACAATGAGATTAATCCATTATGTGTATGAAAAAAAAAAAGTATAGAATATGGAATTTATGGCTAGAAATATCCTGCACTTTATTTCAAGCAACCCACTTAATGCAGATCTGTAGTCAGGGATACTGGGGTTATAAAACCAACAGACCCTGTTTTGTTTTTGTTTGCTTCGGATGCAAGATGAACCCGTTTGCATTTTTATTTTGAGGTATATTTCAGGTGATGGGTTTTAATGTCCTCACAAGCACAAACACTTGTGTACAATTGTTAGTGTCATCATTTTTATCTTCCTCCACTTGAATTCTTTTTGTTGTTGTTGATGTTGATCATTTTGGACCTCTGGATGAGTTCTCTTTCTTTTATTTCGGTCATTGTTAAAAGTTTGACTTGACTAGAAGAAGTTGATTTTTCATTTTCCTGTATTTATTCATGTCCTGCAGCAAGTAAGCATTCTTGATTGTTTTGAAGTTGATGTGTAAGACATTCTCTTGTACAAAAAAAAGAAAAGAAAATGTAATGCTTTGTCATCCTCTAGCTAAGCAGTGGTTGCACTCGCTCTCCCGACAGAAGAATCATTCCTCAGTGAATCCAGATCCACTACAGTACAATCAAAGCTTTTAGAGTTTTTAAAAGGAAAAGTCTGACATGTTGGGAAATCCTCTTGTTTGCCTCCTCGCCCAGAGGAGTGAAGATCGATAGAAACACATGCTGGATAAACAGATATGAAATCATATCGATCTCGTAGTTGGAAAACAAACATCCCCAAAATGTGAGTGCTTTTCCTTGTAAATGCCAGAAAACTTGGTGATATTATGAGGTCAGTCATTTCAGGTCTACACAGGATCTTGGAGCAGTTACAGAATGGCAAACACTGAAAAACCAAATGTGAGTATTAAAAAGAGATATTTACCGGAAGGATACAGTTGTGAATGTTTCTTGTACATAGCAAAATGACTGGAAAAAACGATGCAGAGGAGAATTATTTCATCAAGAAGAGATGCTGAAAAGAGATTTCCATTTTAATTGTTCGAATAATGTCATTACTATTGGTATTAATATTATTGTTATATGTTTTATGTTGAAAATGTGATACACACGTGGTTATATGTCATTCGAATTGATTAATTTCTCTCCCCGTTCTTTTTACTGCAGCAGACATGTTTGCTATATTTAATATGATTGATGTGGCTTATTAACAATGTGAAAAAAAGATGTGTATATAAAAGGCAAACAAGCTTTGACAAATACAGGTATGTACATAGTTTTGCGTCAAGTCACTCGTTTCAAGCACTATTTTTAAAAACACATGCTTATCAAACTCCTTTGTTGATTCATTTTTTGTTTGTTTTTTTAAATTGTAAATAGTACTCTCATCACGAAACACTGGACTCTATGACAGGCTGAAAATGGTGCCATACTACTGAGACTTGTTAAATAGGCTATAATGTTTGAGAGTTTAATTTCGTCTTCTGTTTAGCCACAGTAACGTTAACATGCTAACAGGACAAGGTGTAGATGTTTGACCCGTGTCCTTTGACTGCTTGTTTCAAATGTATTATTTTCTTCCTTTGAATAAAGGATTTCTTCAATCACAGTGAAAAACACAAACATGCTGCAAGCATATAACTGACCACTCATGTGTCTCTCTCTCTGAGCCCTCTGGTTTTGTATTCACTTGGACAATAAACAGCAGGGGTTTCCAACCTGTGTCAGTGACCCTCTTACTGTGGGCCCCTGACATGTAAAAAAGGTGCTATGTGTAGCATTTTAACATCAATAAATCCTTACCACATTAACTCTTGGAAGTCTGCATAATTACTGTAAAGCTGTCATGGCATATAAGTGGCAGTCCACTCAACACCAATTTATCAGAGGATCACAGACAGTGCTTTAACAGTGTTTCTCAAATGGGTCTACATTTAGTCCTAGGGGTTCCTGACATAAAAAGTTCATTTAAAAATAGCACAAGCTTCACTGCACTGGGAGTGCAACTTATCAAAAAGATGCAGTTCAATGCCGTTTTAGTGTTATTGCATGATGACAAAACATTGGTTTGCCATGAATTTAGTGATGATTCCATACATTTGAAATGAAGCATTTAATTGATGCTGATGCACAGCACTGATTTGTAAGTCTTTATATAGGATTTTTCTTCTAACAAAAATGTTTTTGTGCTGCTCAGATAGTGGCTGAAAAGATATTTCTAAAAGGGTATATTAATGAAAGGGAACCACTGCTTTAACCTATTGTAGAATGTTTAAACCATTCTCAGTGTGTACGACCCAGAATGACATGGTCTGAAAAAAACACACATAATAAAGTGCCCTCCACTGGTTCCCAGCCTGGGGGTCCTGGCCACCACCAGGGCTCACCAAAGCTTGAGTGTAAAAAAAGTGTGAGAAAACTTTTTTTTATATAAATATACTAATATAGAGGCCTATCTCAGAATTTCATGAATTTTTATGAACAAACAAATTGACATTTTTAAAGTTTAGACACTAAAAAAAATCTCACTGACAAGGTATATTCACAGACCCTTCACTCTCTGATAAACAAATGTACAGTTAAAGACAAAGAGCTAACAGAGCAATGAGTAGAAAACACTGAAAACAAAGCCTCTTAAGTATGTATCGTTACAAAAATACCTAAATGCAGACAGAGTTTTCTAAATATTATACAGATACATATTTGGGGTTTCTAAAACCTTACAGATTCAAAATAAAAAAAAACTTTAGAGTTTGAGTTTAACAAAACAACTTTACTGAAGACAGTGACCTTGAAACTATGAGTTTTCATTAAGGGGTTTCAATGAAAATAGACCAATAAACAAGATAAAGTCTGCAGGTGGCAGGTAATGGTTAGGCAAGCAAAGCTCTTGCACAAATGGCACCAAGATCTGCTCTGATGTCGGTAAGCTGGCAGAAAGGGGTTCTATAATATTCATTCAGACTAGGTTAGTCAGTTACAGAATGCTTAAAATCACTATCAGACAGAAAACAAGTGTGCAGTTCCTCACCTCTCTGATGTCATAAAGACTGGGCATCATCACACCCTGGTTGGGTGGCTGTGGCTCAGAGGCAGAGGCAGAGCGGGTTGTTCCCTAATAGGAAGGTTGTTGGTTCGATCCCCGGCTCCTCCTGCCAAGTGTCGAAGTATCCTTGAGCAAGATACTGAACCCCAAATTGCTCCTGATGCACAGCATCGGTGTGTGAATGTGTATGAATGTGTGTGAAAGGGTGAATGTGGCACGTAGTGTAAAAGCGCTTTGAGTGGTCGGAAGACTAGAAAGGCGCTATAAGTACAGGTCCATTTACCATTTGCCATTGGCCAAGAGGCGAATCCACCAAGCTGCACTTATTCACTGGTGAGGAGTCGGTCCCCACAGACTGTGCAACAGGTGATCTGAATAACCCTCCAAACAACAACTCAGAGGAACTTTGAAGTCCAGCTAAAATGAGTTGGGGGAAAAAGGGGAACTAAATGACAGCAAGAACGAACGAGTGAGGGACTACTACATGGTTAGATAGCTCCCTAAAGTTCTTTATGAGTTAAGTTAGTACGTTTTTGCACACAAAATATAAGAAATATATAAAGCTGAAATACCCAGATAGCACCTTACATCAGCATAATGTTACATAATCCCTCGTTAATTGAGCAGGTAGGTGGAGGAGAAGCAATGTCAGCAGTTTGCAGATATTTTTAGTGACATTTAATTTGTTACAGTCTGAAATTGAGGAACATCAGATGAAAATAAAACTTGTTTTAAAGTCATTGTTTAATGACTAAAGTACTAATATCGGTACTCGGTGGTAGCAAGAACCCAAATGTGAGTACTCTCCAAGTTTTGCGGTGTTCAGTTTGTTGCAAACTACAACTTCACCACTAGATGCCACTAAATCCTACACACTGGTCCTCCATCACTGATCAATGGCACCAGACTTTCATATATTTTGAACAGAACGCTATTTACCACTCACAAAGCAGTCGGGAATCACTGGGGTTCATCCAGGCTGAAAACTCTATACAAGAACAGTCTTTTAAAATAAAAGCATTGTGTTATGTTGTATTATGAGCATTTGCGTCATCCTTGCTCCTGGAAGATCCTCTTACTCTCCTTTCAAAAAAACAGCGACTCTTGCATCCTTGCAGCTATTGTTGATGGAGTCAGTCTGACGCTGCAGACGCTGCTTACAGACTTCACTGTAATTCTTTGTGATCAGCAGGCTGCCAGAGGGGAGCGGTGGCAGTATGATCAGGAGAGAAAGGATGAGGAGTCACAATATGGGCTTAACACAGTCGCAGGCGTCTTATGCTCCACTAACCCACTTTGTCACACACAAACACTGTTCTTCATATTATTGGCGGTGTAACTAAAGATGAGCAACATGGGATCTGTTAGGTTAAATCACAATTAGGAATTAAAGCTGACACCGCCTGAATGCAGTTCAGAAGTGTGAAGACATTGAAGAGGGAGAGATTCATGCTGAACTATCATCCCTCTAACACATGGTCCTCATTTTCTTATGATAATTCATTGTTTCATTGATCTGTTTCATTTTTTTCCACCTGGACAGGTCGAACCAGGTGACCAGGTAACCATCAGGTTAAAAAATCACTTGTCTTTCATGCCACAATCTTAAGAGATCTTTTTTTTTTTTAATCTCTGAAGCTGCACCAGATACTAATCATTTGTTCCCCAGCACATCCTACCTTTCTACCAAATTTCCCTGAAACCTGGTATTGTAAAGTACTTAATGTACTTAGTTAGTTTAAATAACTATTCTTACAAAATAATTACACCCTTACACCACTTCATATTAAACCTTCTCCAGAAGTTTGCATTTGCATTACCCACATGTGGAAGGTTTGAGTCTAAACTGAAACACATTTGTCATTTGTCAGAGTCAAGTTCTCACAAAAGCCCTGATTTAACTCAAAACCCTCAGTTAACTGAAATCTCCTCAAATTGCAACAGAAAATCTGAATGCTGCTGCTGTACTCATCTGTCTTAAATTGGAGCATCAGATCAAAGAAGCTTGAAGTGATGTGTTGTTTTCTTTGAATGCAATTCTATTTCAGTCCCCAGCCACATCAGCCTGAGGCTCGCTGACGTCAGTATTGACAAATCCAGCCACAAAATAAAGGGTCATATCACTCATTGCTGATGGCAGCAAAACAGGGCAGAGGACCAAATGTGCACATATAATCCTATTATTAGCTACCCTCGATTCATATTTGCAGCCACTGGAAACTTGATGTTATATCATCATTTTCAAACAAAACCAGTAAATTAATGCCAGGATTTTGAGACGAACATCAGAAAGAGGCAGTGGAAATGCCACTTTGAGTCTCCCGAGGGCGTATCTCGTCTCATTTCGGTCCAACGAGGCAAAAGGAAGAACAATGGGACTGTGCCTGAGGGACGTTGTTATAGATAAAGCGTTCAGCGTGGAGACGTGAGCTTTGTCAGGCTGAGTCGGCCGCGTAGACTGCACACATATTTAGATAATAAATAGCCAATTAGAGTCCCTCTGAAGTAGAGGGAAAAGGGACTGCAGCCTGGGACATGTGAATCATCACCCCAGTACATCTGCTTACCTCCTCTGAGGCTGTCAGGGCCAGGCTGCCCTGGATGTCAAATATAGAAAGGAGCAGCCAAAGAGGCCCAAAGAGAAACATCCTGCATGCAGAGGCAGATTCTTTTAATCTAAATTATAAACTGTCAATTTTGAAGTACTTATTATTTTATTTTCATGCTAATTTATACTTCTATTTCCATCCCTTTGAGAGGCAAATATTGCACATTTTACTCCACTACATTTACCCAACAACAACAGCTGTAGCTGCTTTTTACTTTTCAACGTTTAAAATGTTACATAAACATCTGATACTCTTAGAACAGACAGTGGATCATTATATTGGGCCTATTGTCACGTTTCACATGTCAGCGAGTAGTTAATTGCTTCACCAATGATAGATGTGCCATCTAAGCTTTTCAGATGGTTTAATTTAAATTACCACATGAGGACAAAAGAGGTGAAACTCTCCAATAGGGTTCAGGAATAAGACTAAGCCTCTCTCACTAATCCTATCACCTGTGCCTTGTTAATTCAATCACCTGTGCACACCTATAGCTGTGTCCAACCCCTCTCTCCTATTAGTTCTCACCCTCCCCCCATCCCCGACAGGGGGGAGGGTCATCCCTCCATACACAACCCTCATTTGGAATTTCCCCATTGTGGGACAAATAAAGGAATATCTTATCTTATCCTACCAGGATCCTATAGCCAAAACCCAAATAATGACTTTTTATACCACAAATGCTCATGGTCTTAGTGAATCCCCCATTAATCATCTCATACCCCCAGATTTATCTTGTGACCCTTCGCAGAGGTGTTTGGTAATGAGAAGAGAAGACAATAGCTGCACTTTGAGTAGCTAAAAGAGTGAAATGCAAGTTACACACTTCCATATTATAATGCTATACATATACCACTCACACAATGAGTACTTTGGTCTTTGGAGTCTTGTTTGAGGAAATGTGTCACGTGCTCTGTGGTATTTTGAAAGGTGCTTGTTGTGTTGAAAACAAAGAAGAAAGTGTGTTCTTCCTGTTAATGCCTCCATCTTTAATGCATTGAAAAACTCATCAACGCATTAAAACTGCAGCATACTGCTCTGTAGGCATATCATAAAACAACTTATACAGCCAGCCATCTCTCCTACTCAACTTGTGAGCACAGTGTCCATGGATGACCATTTTGGGGGCAAAGAGTGCTACTACACAAAAGCAGGC